AGGATAAGCCCAAAAACCGGGAAAGAGGGAAAAGAAAAAAAAAAAAAAAACACAGGCGGGGGAGAAGGTCCTCTCAGAAGATCTTATCTACATACTTTTTTCAGTTTAGTGACTCAAAGTACTGGAGCAATAGAATGGGCAAGACAGCCAGGCAGCTAACATTTGTAGAATGAGAAATCCACAATGGCGGCCTTCATCTTTCTTTTAGGAAAGGTTTCATTTAATGTAGTAAAGTAGCTCCAAAAATATGGTTATGGCAATAGTTAGAAAAATAAAAAATTTCCCCTAGGGTTTTGAAAAGAAAGCATCACAGAGAACAACGTGTCGGTGTTGGATCTGCCACCCAGTAAAAAATCAGAGAATTTGTGCAGGGCCTGAGTACCTTTGCAACACAGAACATGTACAACAGTGATATAAACTTTAAAAACTCAGATCTTTTAAATCCTCTATCTAAATAATGAGAGGAGAAATGGGGCGATATTTTAGGAGAAAGAAAGAACATAAAGTTAGAACTCTAATCAAAAACAAAACCTTTTTAAAGTAGTCATGTGGGACACATCTTGTTTACAAGAATCTTTTTTTCTCTGCAGGCAAACTCACCATAGCTGCCTTCTTTTTTTTTTTTGGCCACCCCTTTCTTGGAAATTTGGGCGAATGTGCAAGGGGTTAATGGTGACTCAATTTAAAGAAGCATTATAAGGTTAGTAAATGTAAAAAAACATCAATGGATTCATCATAAAGTAGTCTGGCATTTTATGAGAACAATTACTATGGGGTCTATTCACTAAGCTGCCGTAGGCAGCCGAGTGAATGACCGACCTGAAGTGAAGTGAGCCGAACAGTGTTCGGCTATTCACTTCAGGCTGGTACGGCTGATTTCAGCCGTACATCGGCTTGCTTCACATGGCTTTGGGTCGGCCGAACATGCTCAGCATGTTCGGCCGACCCAAAGTGCAGAAGGAGTTCCACTCAGCCGATCCAACATCTGGATCGGCTGAGCCGACCATCCGGCAGGCTACTCACTGCTGTTCGGTCTATTCTCATAGATGCCGAACAGCAGTGAGTGAATAGCCGAATGCCGCTGAGCGGCATTTGGCTCGGCTGTTCTGCTTGGTCCCTCAGAGGGGACCGAGCAGAACAGGAAAAGAGTTAAAAAAGTAAAAAAAAAGTAAAAATCGAAAACGATTGGGCGGAGCTAGGAGTAACAGCTAGCTCCGCCCAATAGTTTCCTATTGTCCGGCGGCTTTGCTGCATGTCGGCCGGCCAGCTCCGGCTTTCAGCCCGGCTCAGCTGAGCCGATGCATATGCCGGCTCAGCTGAGCCGATGCTCGGCCAGGTTTGGGAGCTGTACGGGCTATAGTGAATAGCCCGTATAGCACCACTTCGGTTCTACTAAACCGAAGGGGTCCTGGGGCCTAAGCTAGCCGAAGGATCGGCCGAAGCTACGGCTAGATCCTTCGGCAGCTTCGTGAATATACCCCTATGACTTCATCAAGGTTTCCAAGACTACAAGAGAATAGACCAGTTGTGGATTAAAATTGATTCTGATCATCAAGAAAAATCAGTATAAAAAAGCATTACAAGGTAACCATTACAAGGTAATCAAACAGAAATGTCACATGGTTCATCATTCAGGGTTGTGGCACATCTTGACATTATCAGGGTTTCCAAGACTGAGATGATGCAAGCCGTATACAGCACCCTATCATACCCTCCTCACTCCTCTCCTGCACATACCTTCCAACATCGAACACACCACTCTCCTCTTCTACACATACTACCCGCATCATACCCTTCACACTCCTTTGCAGCACATATTGCCCCCTGTCATAACCTCCACACTGTTTTGCAACACATTGCTTACTGTCATACCCTTCCTACTCCTCTCCTGCACATAACTGGCGTCTGACATTCTGTACCTTCCACACTCCTGTTCTACACATACTGCTTCATGTCATATGCTCCTTTCTCCTCTCCTATACATACAGCCCCCTGTCATACCCTCTATACTCCTCTCCTATACACAATGCCCCGTCACACCCTCCTTACTCCTCTCCTATACATACCACCCCATGTCACACCCTCCTTACTCCTCTCCTATACATACCACCCCATGTCACACCCTCCTTACTCCTCTCCTATACATACTAACACCACACCATTTTTTTTACTTCCACCGCTCCAAGCTTGCTCCTGTGATGGACTACAACCTCAATACAAACTAGTAGTCCATCACTGGAGCCGTTTTTTAAAATGTATTTTATTGTTTATCCGATTAATCGAACTTAATAATCGGCTAACTAATCGATTTTGAAAATAATCGTTAGCTGCAGCTCTACTCCTTTCCTATACATACTGCACCCTGTCATATCCTCCTTACTCCTCTCCCATACATACCGCCCCCTGTCATACCGTCCACAGTCCTTTTCTGCACATACTGCTTCCTGTCATACCCTCCTTTCTCCTCTTCTATACATACTGCCCCTGTCATACCTTCCTTACTCTTCTCCTATACATACTGCACACTGTTATATCCTCCTTACTCCTCTCCTGTACATATTGATTCCCGTCATATCCTCCTTACTTCTCTCCTGTACATACTGCTCCTGTCATACCCTGCACACTCTTATGTACCCACTGCCCCGTCATACCCTTCACACTCCTCCCCTGCACATATTGCTCACTATCAAAGCCTCCACATTCTTCTCCTGTACACACTTACCATCATAACCTCCACACTCCTCTCCTGTGTATACTGCCCCCATCAAACCCTACTTACTCTTCTCCTGTACTTACTGGTCCCCTGTCATATGCTTCCTACTCCTCTTCTACAAACATTTCCTACCGAGACCCTTTGATATTATTTGTAATATCCACTTCCTTGCTTGTTTGTAACAGACACTTTTGGGTAATGATGGGTGTTATAGTATTGGAGGACAAAGCAGATATAATAGCCAATGCACTTTGTATCCTCTCTCTCCACATCAAATACACTCAAATGGCCTAAAGGTGGAACATTTAGTGCTGTGCAATATTAAAACAATGATATGGAAAACTGGAAAATTGCATACTGGATATTTCTGGAAATATGTACATGATATAAAGTTAAAAGGTAACTAAAGCCACGGAAATGAATATAGTATGCGCATTTGAAGCGGTGTAGGTGTAGTTATGAATACAAAGACACTGGTTTTAAAGCCGCAAAAATGGAAATGATACTTTATGCTGATGAAAGTTTCTTGACTTTGTGATTATGAGATTGAAGTATCATGCTGCAACTAAACACACATTGAAAACTATGATAAGGGGAACACCTAGAAGTATTACGCTGCTTACCTCTGGGATCAATAGGAATATTGTAAGTGTCCCCAAGAACTATAGGCAGTGTAAGAGAGCAAGAAAAGAAAAAAGGAGCAGGAGGGAGACAAAGGACCAAAAGAACAAGAGGGGGAACAGAATATCAGTTTACTTCAGTTAAAAAGGAGAATATTAAAGATACAAAGCAAAAATTACAAACTTAGATAAAGTCAGTAGACTTCCGAGTGAGAGGGAAGTGAGTGAAGGAAAGAACCAGAAATGAAGTAAGAAATTATGTAAAAAATGAAACAAGCACAAATTAGAAAAGTTAAGACAGACACAGATATTGAAGTCTAAGGCCTCCTTTACGTGGACATGCAGAGCCATACAGCGTGCACAGGCATGAAGAAACCTGCGCCTGGAGTGACAGCTGTTGCGTGCAGCCACCTGTACAACTTGATGAAAGGAATGCGGCTGCATGCTGGTAAATGCTGATAAGAATTTGAACATCCATTGAGGTATGAATGCACGCCCCTGGATGCAGACTGTCTGTGTTCAGGGGTGTGCATCTGCACCTGTAAGGATGTAAAAGTTCTTATCAGCATTTACCAGCGTGCAGCCGCATCCTGTTACTGAGTTGTAGCAGTCACTCCAGACAAGGTTTGTGCATAGACTTGCATGCTGTGTGGCTCTGCACTTCCATGTCAATCAGGTTTAAAAGTTGCCATAGAGAGGCAGATGTCTCCTCAAGAATGAAGGTGTGGAGACCTCTGCCTATGCCCGGTAATGCTGGGACCCACTGCCCTCTCTTGCTTGTCACACACTCAACATGTTGACAGTCTGCACATAGATTAACCAGCAAAATGGGAATTTACTGTGTGTGAGAACAAATGCTTTTAATGGATGAAACCACTACTGCCCCCTAGGGTAGCCCTTGAAGGCCAGATCTTCATTTGAGCATTCCTTGAGGTGAACATGTGCCAAGATTATGCACAATAATATATTTATATACTATAAACAAGTAGCAAAAGCACTTTAAAACAAGCCCCCATTCTCCTCTGTATCTATATGCAATGTAGAGAAATGCATCTTCAATGTTCACAACAGAGGCACAGAAATCTCACTTCTGTTCCTATTACTATCAATATCTGCAGAATATTGGCAGGCCGCCAGCCTCCTCATGTAAAACACACAGCGGGTGTTTGTAACCTGTGAGAAACCCGCTTGTTGTGTTCTTTAACCGCTTGCTGTCCAGAGCAGTTTTTTTATATTTATACGCAGCATAACCCCCCCACCCAATTATATATTTTCTGAAAGCAGAGGCCCTGTAGAATAATGGGGTAATTAATTGTCCTGTATTACATCCCTGTATCTGTCACAAAGGCGAGTGGAGCTGACATTTAAGGGTAAAGCTAGACATAAAAAAGGTAATGTAAAGAACGATAGAACAAAAGCAATAAAAGGATAAAACAGTAAAGGATGATTTAAAGCAATATGCACCTATCTTGGAAGATGGCATTTTGGGGCTAAAGCTTTAGGGCCCATTCACCTCAGTAGATACGGTTGTGCTCTTTATAATGTATGCCCACTGGCGAGTGCTGTGTAGGGGCAGTGCAATGCATTGTTACAAAGCATGGCGCTGTTCACCCCTTTTTTCTTGTTTTAACCTTTATTGAAATGTCACAAAATGAAATTTCATAAACTCTATGCAATGCAGCGCAGTGCAATGTGTTACAGTGCGCTGTGCCACATAAAAATGCAACCTGTCCTACTATTCTTTTTGGTGCTGAAGAGAATCTATAGGACAAAAGCCTTGTCTATGCGTTGGGACTGCATTTGGCAGCAGTGCCCAATGGGGCTTGTATGAGCGAACCCTTAAGAGGAAATAATGTTTAGACTTAAAAGGAGAACTATTGGGTAAGTGTTTTTCTCCATAGTTCTCCTAAGGGTCATGGGAGGACACAAACTAGCGTCCTCCTATGACCCAAACCTCAGTATACCGCGAGCTGTATACTGAGACTGCCGCAGCCGTGACGGATCCCGACATTACTGTCAAGATCCACCCAGCTGCGTGATTGACAGCTGGCTCTGCTTATCTAGGCAGAGGCAGCTGTACCCGCCCCCTCCCCCGTCCATTCCGCCAGTCAGTGCTGGAGAATCGGAGCGGGGAAGGGGGGAATCCCTGCAGGGAGCCTTAAGTGACAGTCACGGCTCTCTGCAGGGACATGATCGAGAAGTGAGCGAGCGACGGTATGTGTTCACTCACTTCCCGATCTATTGAGCCGACGTGTGACAGTTTCATTGTCACACGTCGGCTTGAACTATGAGGTTGAGTAAAAATCACTCACCGCATAGTTCTCCTTTAAGGATTATGTCTAGGCAAAAATGTAAAAAAATATATGCAGTAACTCTTTGTGATACATGCACACTTCCACGTGTTTATCCCTTTAAAAAAAATTGCACTTACAGAAAAATACATAGGGATTCTGCCAGAAATCTAGTGAGCTCCTAAATTCCTGCAGTAGTCTACCTAATAACACTACTTCTGCTGCACAGATGTCCTAAGCAGTATTGACATCCCTGCCTGAGTTATCCCCTGCTGGACTACATAACTCCACGTATTCCCCCTACCGCCCCTCTCGGCATGCATTAATTGATTTCTTACTGAGCAGAAAATGCCGCTGCCTTGACTCCTAAGATAGCTTTTGGAGGATGTTATTCTGGGGGTCACGTCTTTATCTGACCCAGGGTACCCTGCTGTTTCTCTACAAAAGAACGGGGGGGAATGATTGCTGGGAGATATATAGAGGGGAAAAGGACATTTGGGGTACATTTGGGTCATGCCTATAAAAATCCTTTAAATAGTGCAAACTACAACAAGCCAGGAAATGGTAAAATATAACTGTAGTGCTGGTTTCACTTAGATACAAATGCAACAAGAAAACAAGACAATGTAAGAAAGAGGAGATCTGTATGGGGAATGGTCTTCACCAAAATGAATCTAATACGGTGTGAAAAATCTGGTGGAATCTTGGAAGTTTTACAAATGAAGGAAGGTAAAAGATCATAATTACCTTGTGAGGCCAGCATGGCTCCTGCTGTCTCCTGGAACTCAAGTAATTGCTGTAGAAAAAGGATAGCCTGTGTGGAGATCAAAAAAAAAATTGTTGGATCATTACACTTTTAAAACAGCACAATTAAACATGCCAATGAAAAGCAATTAGCAGATAGCCAATGAGTTACAGGGAAATAAACAGCTAGAAGCATACAAAAGCACACAGCAAGATTGACTGGAAACAATTGCAGAGTATAGAGGATACTTACATTACTGGTCAGTTCATGCACTGTACCATCTTTGGACATGCTATTCTCCTTATCAGGGTCATTCTGTGGACAGAAAAAAAGGGTTTTAAGCCACTTGTACCTCTAGGACCACATCACAATCTCTTAGTAGTGCGGCTTTCCAGCATTAGTGTTATCATACCACAAATGACAGCGATTGCTCCAAATTCATGTAGCTGTTTCCAAGAGGTACATGAATCTGGAGCAAGCACCGACGTCTGTCACGAGGATGCACAACAGAATCCTAAAGAGTTTTGTAGGATTTCCCCCACTGTCCTGACTAAAAGGTGCCCATACACCTTACGACCATCGCAAGACTTTTGTCTTGCGATGGTCGTATGCTCATTAAAAGCCCGTACGATCTGCCCACCTTGGACGGGCAGCCTCCACCAATCAAACATCTGTTTACAATAAGCCACTAATCAGTTCAAAGGCTGCTTGGATTATTTCCATTGCAATGCATCCCAACCTCAAAAAGCTCAACTGCCTTCACCTGCAATGTTGGTGAGCCATAAGATCTTGTTGATACTACTTCAATTGAGCTGTGTTGATCTGCATAAATCAATGCCGGCTCAACACCAGGGCACATAGAAAACAACTGTTCACACCTCGTGCCTTGAGGTGGGTTGCACCTCACCATGTTGCAGCTCAACTGTGGTGCATGGAAATGAATAAAAACTAACAGCAGATAGTTTTTAGTCACATGATAGAGCTGAAACCATACCATATCTTACCTTAATACTGTCCGCAAAATCTTCTAGAGCTTTGGCTCCTGTTGTCTCTATAGAGTTTATAAGGTTTGGTAGTTTGTTCTTGGTGCTAGCAGCAGTACCCTTAAAAATAGTAAAAAGAAACAAGCACGACATTTAAAAGGTATATTTAAAGTATATAGCAGTTCATTGTATTAATTATGTACATTTAGTTAGGATTCTACATTACATTAGAGCCAAACTAAAATCACAGAAATAGAAATTTAGTCAGTCATACACTTTACTAACAACCTACATTTGTATCGTATGTCCACTTTCCACTTACACTGGTTGAGCAAGATGTCCAAGTATGACTGTGAAGTGCAATAGGAACCAGAGGTAGACCCAGTGCACTCAGCAATCGGTAACATAACTGGTCAGACATATGTTCCCTCCTCTTCTTTGCAATGGAATTCTGTGTGAAGATGCTTGTAATTACAGGTGTACCTGTTACTTTTGTTTTGTTTGTTTTATTATTTTGGATAGTATATGGAAGGGATACAATCCTCAATTAGGTTGTTTTTGATTGTCTGATGGGGAGAATCACCCTCTCTATTTGTCTTGTTCCTGGAACAGAATGCATGGAAATCCAAAATGTTACAGTTCTCACTGATATAAGGAATGAGGAGAAACCATAGAATAGAGAAGGGTGTTCTAGAGAGGATTTTGAAAGATTTGCTCTCACTTCCTTTTGTATCTACAGGACAGGAGTTAAAGGAAAATTTCCCCAACAGGCTTCTATCCGAGTCCAAAAAAATAAGCTGCAGATTCACCTTAATTCTACAAGCCTATTTTTTTCAAAAAAGCATTACTGCACCTGGAGAACTTTGTCGAACTCAGGCTTGAGAAGTTTCAGGTGCCTTAATATGGGGAAGATGCTCAGAACAGAGGTGAAGTCATGCCTTGAGTTGGCTTTCTTTGCAGCTAAGACAATGTTTTCTCCCTCCAACATAAGGTTATCCAGGGTCTCCTGATGGAACACAAAAGCAGAATCATGTAAACGTTATTTGTAAGATGAGCAGCAGTGAAATACAGCCAGCTATCATTCTACAGCAATAACCAACCTGGATGAGAGAATCAAAAGTCTTCTTCTGATGATGTTCAGGAATGATGTCCATAAGTAGTTGGTATTCACACTGTGCAAGTCGCACAAAAGCACTGATACAGTATATGTAAGTATCAATCTCAAAATCAAGCACATCCTCCTTCCCTAGAACAGCAAGAGAGGAGATCTCATAGACAATGTTACCTTATGAGCGTGTATTCCCTAGATGACATCACTACATTGTGGTATGATGGGACATCATGGTGGCAAGCTGGTTAGCATTCTTGTCATGCAGTACTAGGGTGCTGGCTTTAATTTCTACAAAAAATGATATCTGTATTCAGAGGTTCTTAACTTGTGTGTTGATGTTCTATTTCCTTCTACAACCCAAAAGCATGCTGGTAAGTTACCTGTCTTTGACCCAAACAAGCTCAACTGTGTATATATCCACATATTACTGTGGTAAGGATGTTACATTGTAAGCTCCTTCGGGGTAGAAAATTATTCATATAATCCGTGGTGCAAGGCTAAGGAATCTGTCTGCACTATATAAATGTATAAGATAAGTAGATAAAAGCATTTCATTCGATGAAGGAGCAGTTGGAGATCTAAGGACTGCAACACTAATAGGTCATTCTGTGTGCATCTACACGCACTGCACTACAGTTCCTCATTCAAGCACATGTACACATATAGGCACACGTTCACAGTATACATTAAATTCTACAAGCTGTCACACCTGAGGTGCTTTCATCATGGGCTTTTTAAAAACCTTCATGGAGACTATGGACTATGGATCTGAATGAACAGCCTATAGAGTGGGTCAAGAGAATCAAATGTGCAGAGCATCCACCCTTATAGAACATCCCTTAAGACAAATATTATAACTTCTGCTAGATAAATAGCCAAGTTGGTGGACACCTGCCCATAACCCTTATACGAGTTTGTTGGACATCCCATTTCAAAACCATGGCCATTAATATGAAGTCACACCCTCTCTTCGCTGCCATAACAGCCTCCTCTCTTCTGGGAAGGATTTCAACAAGATTTTGGAGTGTGTCTGTGGGAATTTGAGCCCACTCGGTCAAAAGAGCATTTGTGAAGTCAGGTACTGATTTGGATGAAAAGACCTGACTTGCAATTTGCATTCCAATTCATTCAAAAGGTGTGTGTGTATTAGGGTTGGGGTCAGGGGCTCTTTGCAGGCCACTGAAGTTCTTCCACATCAAACGATGGGTTTATGGAGCTGGCTTCCTGCACGTGGGCACAGCCATGCTGGAACAGAAAAGTGCCTTCCCCTGTAAAGAGTCCTAATGCTCCCAATGAACAGGGGGGCTTAGATGTGAAAGGGGGATCCTGATTTTAAATGGGGGACAATGATTTGAAGGAGAACACCTTTTTTGGGGCACACGGACTGAATTAAACTCCAAAACTGTTAGTATCAGGTACCACTATAGCACTTTTCAGCTCAGGTCGGGTTCAGTTTAAAAAGACCCCACTCAAGTACCCAAGGGTACTTTGTAGTACATTAATTCAAAGGAATCTCCACAATCTCATGTACCAGTACTCACCTAAGGGTGCCCCGTGTTTTTCTCCCATTGCCTCTCCATGGAGCCTGCTACGTGAATCTTGTTCGTGACCTGATCGATGTGGAGGGTAGGTATACTGTTATCCAGTAAATTACACAACTGCCTGGGCCACGCAGAGTGGCAGTCCGGTGTCCGAAGAAAAAGGAGAGGCGCAGCATGGGGGTCATTACAGCTGGTCCCTTCACAAATTGTCACCGAGTGTCATGCAGGCTACAGTCTTCCGTATGACCTTCTTAATGCCATTATTAATAATCTTCCGCCTTGTCTAAGACGTATCTCATACTATTAAAGCTGAACTCCAGGCACACAAATAAAAGGTTGAAACATATATACGTGGGAGCCATTTCACCTGTCAAAGGATTTGTATTTTTGTTCATCCAATCCTGAGATTAGCTGGACAGTAGTACAGCCATTCTGGTGACCTGACTTTATTTTTCTGCAGTAAAGCTTGGTCACCTACCTGCTCCCAGCCTATGACTAGACAGTAACTGAACAGCAGCATCTTATCCTTTTGTCACTCTGCTCCTGTCAGTATGTTCCTGGTCAGAACATCGGCATGCAGCAGACATGATTGTACCCTGGTGCTGCCCCTTTTTCTCAGAGTTTTGTTGTACAGAGGATTACAAGAGGCTGATAGAAAGTCAGATTTAGGTACCTATAATAGCTGCTTTTGAAAATACATTTAAAGGGCGAATGAAGCCAAAACCTTTTTTTTAACCATATCCAACAATCCATGCCATGTTTTTAGCGTGGTCCTCGCTTATAAACATGAAACATATTTCTGGCTCCTCCTTGACATTGAAATACCTTTACGAACTCCTAATATCGGATTTAAATCTTGCTTCGTGGCACTCTAAAGGTTTCTAGTTCATTGCCCCATCTGATGTTTTAACCTTGTTTAGTGATCGTTTAAATATGCCCAGATTAAACATTTACACTAATCTATTCCTTGCCCACAAATCTGTTTTCCCAATGAAATATGGACTTTACATAACAACACTCAACTTTTTGTAAACTCCCATCTATGCTTAAGTGGGAAACAGGTTTGAACTCTTATTTTACGGATGAGCAATGAAAATTGGCAAATAAAGCCAATCTATCAGATTCCCGATGTGTTAATCACTGGGAAGTTTCTCAGAAACGTCTCCTCCGTTGGTATTTTCAACCTCATCGACTTTCTAAAATCTATCCGGACTCCTCACCACTGTGCTGGAGACAATGTGGACAGATAGGCAATCTTCTGCATACCTTCTGGTATTGTAAATCTATTCGGAGCTACTGGGGTGAATTATTTTGATTTATTGCATCTTTCACAGGTATTACAAATCCCCAGTCTCCTCAGTTGGGGCTTCTTAGTATAGGTGTAGAGATCTATCCTCAGGAATATAGATTGGTGGTGATGCATTTCCTTTTTGTTGCTAGATTGTGAATTGCAGGATATTGGAGGTCCTCTCATGTTCCATCACGGTCAGAAACGATATTTGGTTTGAACTACCACTGTAAATAGGAGAAACTGATTTCTTATAGACTCCAATCCCAGAAACAATTCCATATTAGATGGAATTCATGGTTAGATCACAGATTTTCTAAACCTTTTTCATTTCCATTACTCCCTCTCTCTGTAACTAGGAGACCATCCTCAATCTTCATCTATTACTTGCATCTTGTTTTGATGTGACTGGTATAATTATTTTTGTCTCCTTTCTTGCTTTCTTCTTCCTATCCTTCTCCCTCAATTCGTATGCTCACATTTCATATTGTCTTTCTTGTTGGTTTGTACATGCCTGGTTTACAATTCAGCACTTTATACATTTATTATGTGATAGAATATGGTCTATTCCAGTGGATACTTCTAAGTGCCCTGGGATGTTAATGTACTTGGCATCAAGGTCTGCGTTTATTCGCCATATGACTCTGTAAACCATTTTGTTGATTGTTATATTCTTTAATATTTTTTACGTTTTGAAGAGAGTCGAAAAGAATTAAAACCCCTCACAGGTTTGTATTGCTGCTCCCTGTTAGGGAGATGCACCCTCTCTATTAGTCCTGGTGACTAAGGATGGGCTCGGGCGTGTTCGCAGCTCCACGTGCCGAGCCCGCCAGGAAGCGGACAGCGCGCAGCGCCAATCACAGGTACTGAGACATTTTCCCGGTCCGCAGCTGCAGAGATCGGGAAACGTCTCAGTGCCTGTGATTGGCGCTGCGCGCTGTCAGCTTCCTGGCGGGCTCAGCACGTGGAGCTGTGAACATGCCCGAGCCCATCCTTACTGGTGACTAAAAGAGATTAATAGTCAATGAAAATTCCACATTTTGGAGTTGTCATCTGAACACCAATAGATGGGAAATCTTCCAATGGGTACACTATTTCCGGTGACGCTACCTACCACCAGAGGTTTCTCTCTCTTTGGAGGCATTTCCTCTCACTTCATGTAATGGCTATAGGACAATAAGTGAAATCAACCCAATGGGACACAGATGCCCAAAAAGCTGACAGGAGGGGGTCTATCCCTCCCTTGCTCTATTTTAAACTAAAAAAAGTTTTGGCTTCAGTTCTGCTTTGTTTTTATGAATACATCTCTGCATTGTTTGGTGTTTTTTTTTTATATCTGGCAGGAGTTCAGCTTCAAATTGAACTGAATTTCAATGAGCATCTTATTGTTCAACTTCGTGCTTGCCAATTAAAGTTTTCAGTCTAATTCCAAAAGAGTGTAGCCTGCTTTGAAGCGCCCACCACAAAAGTCTGATCTCAGATTCTGCAAGTCACATCCCCGAAACCCCAATCAGCAATAAAGAGTTGAGCAATTACCTTCAAGGACTCCAAGGCTTGACCCTCCCTTTTTCCCATCAAGCCCGTGCTGTGAATACTGTTTGAGAAGATTCTGAGCTTTGCGGATAGTTCCTGTCACCAAAAGGAGAGCAAGAAAACGAAGACGGCAAGGGAAAGAAAAATATCTTGGAGAATGAGCAGGAAGACACCAAAATACAGGTCAAAAGGTCACCAGGTAAGTGCGCAGAGAAGACTGACTTTTACTGCCTAATAGGAATTGATTAGGAGAGTATTAAAGAAGCATTTGACTGCCACCACACCACAAAGAATGCTGATACACCATCTTCAAGAACACCTTGTTATGAAAGAAACTGTGATTAACAGGCTGGACAATATATAGCAAGCCATCATATTGGAACAACAGATCATCTGAAATTGAGGAAAACAACGTTAAAATGAAGACTACGAAATGTCTACAATCAAGGCCGGACAAGTCAGAGCAGGCACATTGCCAATGCACCTCCCAAAACCTTTAAACCTGTCCTTTTTAATGAAAGCCCATTATCCTAATTAATTTAACGATCTTGCTGTCTCCATGGGGTGTATTTATAAAACATTTGCAGAGTCACATGTACATGTGAGAATGGAGACAAAAACGAATGTTATTAGTGTTGTTCTTTTTCCATGTCAAATATAATAACAGGAAAATACCACATTAAGGCCACTAGATGGAGCGGAGGAGCCTAGGAAATAAATACAATGGGGAATCAGCTTCATGTTTCTAAATGCAGTTCTATGAAATTAATAGAATTTTTAGCCATCAGAGACACCAAAAATGATTTCAGGACCCTATTTTGGGTCTGTGCTTCCAGGTTTTGCAGTCTATGGATCTCTCAGACATACATAAAAGACGATTTTAAAACTGAATGCATTATGCCTCGGTAAGTGGCCTGTGGGTAAGGACTGTTAATGTTAGAAGTTAAATTAAATAATATTCTTCTGAGAAAAATGGGATCCCCCATTGCAGAACAACTGGAAACTGGTAGCTATGGGTCCCAGAAACTATTACTTCAAGTCATAATGGCTGACTATAACGGCACTTACACACTTATGTTAGAATGTCAAAATCAATGTCAATCAGATCTGGAGGTTCCAATATTTTGGCTCATAAGTCATCTTGATAAATATAATGGGATTTACATTTTAAGTTAGATTCATTGAATCAATGGTTTCAAATTTTCACCTAGAGGCTAAGCACAGCTGTTTCATAGGCGTCTTGAAGAAGAGCGACAGCATACTTTGTACACAGAATGCACCCGAAAAGTTATTTCGATTGACAGCAGAGACCCAGGCCAACCGTCTACTAGGGCAGGCAAGGAAGAGAGAAGTTTGTCTCCCACCCACTAGCCCGGACACGCGGAGAGGCCTTAACTCTGGAAGGCTGCAGGCTGACAAAACAAGGATCATCATGTTACATGAATGCTTATTAAACAGCACAGCAAAGTACACCAGACAATGAAACGTAAGAATATAAAAGCATTTATAAAGTCAGTGAGCAACAAGACACTGTCGTGCCCTTATGAGTCACGTACTCTGCACCCAAGCCAAGACAGTACGCCATGACACTTAGACTATTGGCCAATATCTGTGGAAAGCAGATACTGTGTTCAAACCGTCTAACCCATTACTAACATTAATATTCAGGTTAAAGAACAGATATGACAGCAGCAATGCTAGGATTACAAAGACAAAGAAGCTGGCTTTAAGCAGCGTTACAAGAGACTGCGCACAGCTTCAAACATAGGTGATGCATGTTTAGGGTTAATGCTAGTGCTGGACTTAGTACATACATTACTCTTTTTTTTTTTTTTACCTGGTATGAAGACTGCTTGTCATCAGGATATACAAAAGAGGAAACAGCCAAATCAGTATCATCCAGGCAAGGATGGAACATAAAGTTCTTCCTAAACATATTGTAATGCAGGGAACATAAGGCAGCACTGCCATAATGATGACAGCTAATCCAATATAAGGATGCATCAAACTATTTTAATGCGATCATTTTGGTAAAAGCTTTTTACTAATTTAATTCAATCATAGTCTGGGGAAAAATAAAACTACTTCTGCCTAAGCAATCAGCTAAACCTCAGAACCACTTATTGCAATGTACTTTTCAAATAGCTCATGCATTTATTTGACTGTGATCAAAAGAGAAATGGAGCTTCCTAATAACTTCCTAAAACATGCTGATGATGCAGAACATAAGTAGTACATCGCAGTATATAATTAGTGCCCCTGCTGACTGGTAAACTAGAATGTAAACCTTTTATCAGGACATACACTATATGGCCAAAAGTTTCTGAACACCGGACCATCACACCTATATGTGCTCACTGGATGTCCCACTCCAAAACCATGGGCATTATTATGGAGTTGCCCCCCTTCTACTGCTATAACAGCCTCCACTCTTCAAGATTTTGGAAAGTGTCTGCGGGAATTTATGCCCATTCTGCCAAAAGACCATTTTTGACATGTAATGATGTTGGGGCATGCAATTCGCATTCCAAATTAGGTGTTCACTAGGGTTGAGGTCAGGGGCTGACTTTTCACATCAAACTCTTCAAACCATGTCTATATGGAGCTGCCTTTATGCACTGGGGCACAGTCATGTTGAAACAGAAGGGACCTTCTCCAAACTGGCGCAAAAGGTTGGAAGTGCTCAAACGTTTTTGTATGCTGTAGCATTAAGTGGCCTTCACTGGAAACACCAGAACTCATTAATTTGGAGAACAGTCTACCTATTTTAATGGCGTGATGGTTGGGTGTCCACATTCTTTTGGCCATAAAGTCTAGGTAATTATACAGAGGTCTAGACTAATAAGCAGAGAGGGTGGAATGCTTGGGCAGAGTAAGGATTCTCATATGTTACTGCTAACAGTGCATATTGCTGACTGACCAGGTCTCTTGGCTGGCTTCTTGGTGGGGGTATCCTTCTTCTTGTTTTGCACAGCAGGAGAATAGGGGACCCCAGTACTTGTGCTGTTCTTTCGGAAATGTTCTTTCAAGCCCTTGATTGAACGATCCAGTTGGCTGGAGCGAATCTGGTAGTATACATTCATAAAGTCTGCAAGGAAAAGCAGCTGAATCAGTGTCACCCATAATGAGAAAAGGAGCGAAAAGAAGAATACAAATAGAAAATTAAACGGAAAGGTTTTTTTGTTTTTTTTAGAAGGAGAGAAAGTCAGAATGTGATACAAACCTGAACACAGTAAAAAAAACTTCAAATAGTCAATTAGGCAATGCAATGGAAAGATTTACAGCGGCATTGACTCTAATAATGTAGTTCTAGGTAAAAATGAGTGCTCTTTAAAAAAGAAAACTCCCTTTAGCTTTAGACAGTACATATACTGTATAGTTGCCACACAAGCCATTTTGTCATTTAAAGTAGACCTATAGTCCACTAAATAAATTTGACTCGTCCCGTCCCCTCTCACTAACATTCTTGCCTAGCTGGGATATACCCATCATATATCCCAGAAGGCTGCAGGAGCAGGAACACATTGTGGCCAATGGAGGAACCTGATGCTCATCACTGGGGGAAGGCTGTCTGGACCTAAGAGGCAGCCAGATCCCAATGAAAGGGCTCGGGACCTCGGCTGTGGCAGCATAGTAGCGGATCACAGCAGGATGGTGCTGGATATGTTGGCCAGGTGAGTATGTGAATTTAGGACCGCCCTGCATAACAGGTTAAAAAAAAAAAGCAGGTGGGGTGGGTGAAGTTCCTCTTTAATGCAATTAAATTAACCCCGTCAGTACCCTAATAGTAGTAAAAGAAAAGGCTTAAAATACTTCACATAGCTTCTTCAGTGCCCCAAACATCTGGATGCTGTCACATGCAATCTTCACTTCCTGACAATGTCAAATGCTTGCTCTCCTCTTCTGTCATGTTACCCCCCCCCCCCCCCCCCCCCCCCCCCCCCATCAAAGTAATGGGCCAATGGGATATTCGAAATGTGGGAAGAGATAGGCAAGCTCCTTACACAATGAGGAAGTGCTGAAAATTGTATATCACAGAGCCTCGGGATTTAGGGGGGTCATTGGAAAGGGACAGTTAAGTCACCTGTGAAGTCAGGAGCCAATAGGAATTGGCAGGAGATGCGAGGGGTAAGCATCAACCACTACTGGAAAGAGTTGAAACTTGCTTGTTTTAGCACACTGGAATTCGGGGCACTCCATGTGCTGAAGAAGATATATAATGGGAAGTTAACTACCAGTTAGCACTTGCATTGTAGTCCAGAAGACGGTTCATTACAATTAAACTGAAAGGTATATAAGTACATTTCAAATGTGTAGATCATTTCTTATTAATAATCACTAGAGCCATATATATGCACTGCCACAAAACAAGGCTGCATTTGAATTAAGTTTTAGGGCCATTTCACACCAGATGCGCTGGGACTGTGTTTGCTGCCTTTCCAGTGGAGTCCCACAGACAAGGCGATCTGCGTTGTTTTCAAACGGCCCTGTTCACATCACCACATTGCAGTAGTGTGCGCTAAAAAAAGTATGGCATCAGTACTTTTTCAGTGCAGCGTGGTGTGACATGACACAACAGGCATAGTTCTTCCTATGCTTCAAGAACAGAACTCTCTTATGATTTACAGCAACTGATTCTGTTCATTTATAGCACCTGAATGATTTACACGTACCTTGGTTTCTTCCATACTCTACCAACCACTGAGATATGCGTATGATGTCCAGTAAGATCCCCTCTGGAAGATGCTCCATAATTCCCTCCTCTTGTCCTTCTATCTCTTCATCTGTACCAATGAGGTCCAAGATAAGAATCGGAGGAACCGGTCTACTATGTCTCTGAAGGAGGTTACGGAACTCAGCGTCCAAGGATTCCTTTCCTTTTTCAAACAGTGACTTCTGCAAAATTTGGGTAACACGGTTACATTGGAAAACTTCAAAGACTGAGAACACGTCCTTCCAATCAGGTGTATAATCATCTACATCCTTGGTTCTCAACTGGTGGGTCATAACTGGATCGTGACCTCTTGACGATTTGATGGTGACGCGCTTGGTTGGGGTGCTGGGGCCCCCCTCGACTCCCCCCACAGCCACCTCTCTTCTTTGTTTGTCTCCCCCTCCTACCCTTTCCACTTTTCTTTTCTTCCTTTTACCTCAAGGTTCTACTATGGTTTTTTTGGAGCCTGCAACACGCGATCTAGAATGATTGCTCGGCATACGAACGTTAGCCTCTATTTCCCCACTGGTGTGGCTCCGCTGGTTTCCTGCAGCAGGTAGCTGGCATCCACACTATGGTTTCCAGATGCTAGCCCACCCCCGGTGATTATACACAGACCGTTACGGTCCCTATGTCCCACTTTAGTTTCTGTACGGGGGGCTTTTGTTTTCGACATACCCTTTAATCAATGTTATATGGATATCCTTCATTGGCTCTATACTGGATGACTTTATAAAATGCACTGATACGCCGTTGTATTGTTCTAAGTCAATTTTCCATTGTATAAACCTGCTGGACCTTACTCCTACTGTATAATCTGTAATTCTGTTCTGTTACAATAAAAATATTTGTACAACAAAGGTGGGTTGCAACCTCATGTTCTGTGGGTCACCGCATGCCTTCCACTGTACTAAGTGAGAGGCTCTTCAACCTCCCGCTAGCATAGCACTGTCGGTTCTTGCACCAAGCAGCCATTAAAAATATGCTGCTCAGCGCTGAGTGTTGGCTTGAGGTGGGCTGGGCTGGAGGTATGGCCACGAGGGAGCTCTATCCATACATGCATTGCTTACAGCTCCCTGGCATGTCCTGTAGAGGTGCCTGGACCAGATTGACGTCACATTCTTGCTCCTGTCACATCTCTGCCCTGATGAAGGGACCCTGCGTGGTCCCGAAACATTGGATTATGCGATATGTGTGACGTTTGGTCCAAATAAATGGACGTTATTTTTTGAACTTCATTTGCTGAGAGGTGGTGATTTCTATTCTCCATTGACTGCTGTGCACGTCGCCATCCGTGATCGTCACTTCGAGCACTACGATTGTTACTTGGAACAGGAACGCTGCAGGGAGACTTACTGTTTTCTGGAACATTCTGGCTCCTGGCACCTCTACACGGTGCGCAAGGCAGCTGTAGAAGCACCCGCACCGGAACGCGCAGTACCCTAATGCCGTACGTTCCATTGCAGTGCGACTTGGGTTGTGACTTAATATATGTGGGCCCTGAGGTTACACAGATTGAGAACCACTGATCTACATGGTTCATTATAATAGTACAAAAAGTTTTAATTATGATGATCTCCATTAGCACGTCTAGTTCTTTTACTATATGAATTTGTTTTTCTACACAAGTTACTTTTATGCATGTGAATCAGATCTTACCACTCTGTTTAACTCGGGGCTGTCGGGATTGTTATCTTGAAAATACTCCACTGCTTTCTGAATCTTGGCAATGCAGCTTAGGTACTCCTCTAGTCGTCCCGATGGCCTAACAGATATAAAGTAAGAAATGTGATTGCCACATCATTCTCCAAATGATGAGAATTACATATCACTAAATTACTGACAGATTAAAGCAACTTTTATAAAAAAATGCATGAAAAAGCACAGAAACATCAAGTATGTTAAATGTCTTCTTACACTACTTTTTCCCCAAAATATTTTGTAGTGACTTGCACTGTGCCATAAGCTTACTAGAAAATGTTGCTGCACCAGGAGAGTCAATTCTCAAGCTCAGCCCTCTCCCTCCTTGCACATCATAGCCCTCTCCTTTTCTGGCAGTGTCTAATTACTTACTGGCCTGGCCCAGCTCCTCCACCTCTCCTGTCACCTCTCTACATAGTTACATAGTATTTGAGGTTGAATAAAGACATAAGTCTATCAAGTCCAACCTATTGTGTGCATGTATATGGTTCTACTGATGTGTGCGTATGTAAACGTCCCTGTGTGATCGCATTTTTAATAGTTCCTGTGCCCCTGTATATTACGGTCCCTAAGGAAATCGTCCAAAAGCTTCTTGAACGATTCCACACTCTTAGATGAAATCACTGCCTGTGGCAACAAGTTCCAGACCCTAACCGCTCTAACTGAGAAGAACCCCATTCTCCCCTTGTGCTGAAATTTTTTTTACACATGTTTTAGATGGTGGTCTCTATTCTTTGTTATGGAGATAATTTTAAAGAGTTTGTTGCCCATGTTGCTATCACCGTTAAACATTTTGTACATGAAAATCATGTCCCCCCTTAATCTCCTTACTTCCAACAAGAACATATTTAAATTTAGTAGCCTTGTCTCGTAGCTCTGGTCCTCCATCCCCTTAATAAGTTTGGTTGCCTTCCTTTGGACTCTTTCCAGCTCAAGGACATCCTTTCTGTGGACTGGTGCCCAAAACTGGACTGCATACTCCAGGTGAGGCCGAACCAGTGATGTGTAAAGTGGCAAAATTATAGACTTGTCTCTGCAGTACATCCCCTTCTTAATACAGGACATGACTCTACTTGCTTTGTTTACAGCAGCCTGGCACTGCAAGCTATTATTCAGTCTGTGGTCTACAGTGACCCCCAAATCTTTTTCCATTTCTGACTTCCCTAGTGGAGTTCTCATTAATGTGTAATTCGCTTGCCTACATAATCTTTAATGTAACAGCTGGACGAGGAGTGAAAGGAAATACTATAGAGTGTCACTTGAGTGACAGCTCTGCCGGGGCTACTAACATCACATCCAAGAAGGAGGCACCCACCCACAGGGCTTTTCATCCTTATAAAAACATATAGAAGGGAATTTATTAAAACTGGAGCAGACAAAATATGGAGCAAATGTGCATGGTAGCCAATCAGCTTCTCTCTTTCATTTTTAAATCTTAACTGAACTGAAGAGAGAAGCTGATTGGTTACCATGCACAGCTGCTCCAGTTCTAATAAATTCCCCCTATAATGTTACCATGTAACAGTAAATGGAAACATTATCTGAAGGGAAGGTTTTGATTGAAATGAAAGGTCTGGAGACAGGGTCTCTTGAGAATCGTCAATACATGTACAGGTAACGCTGTTCAGCTATTCACTTCAGCCTTAAAAAAAATCACCCATACATCGGCTGCCTTCGGCATTCAGCCTGGCTATTCGGCTCGGTACCTCCGAGGTAGCGAGCAGAATAGAAAAAAGTGAAATTAAAAAAAAAGTGAAAAATTATTTGTAACCATATGCTGATCGGGGTGTTTACACCCCCTTCCTGGCCAGGCCAGGTCACATCGGGTAAATAAACACCAAACATGTCAAGCCTTAAAATTGCGCACGACTGCAAAATCGCAAAAAACTATCATAGCCAAAATTGGTCATAAGCAATGCTTTAAAAGATGTTAGCGCTCATCAGTTTAGTGTTATCAGTGATTGATGGCCCTAAAATTATTGCTCTCACTGCGACGTTCGCGGCGATATGCAACATGTGCGGCGTAATCGTCGTTTTTGCATGTAGGCACACCTTAACGCATTTTTGCGCATCTATGTGGGGGTGGGGGACTTTAAAAAACTTTTGTGGCCTTTGTTATTTGTGTGTAGATTTTATATATTTTGTGAGCAATTTTTTTTACACTTAACTTTATTATTATCACATAGGGTGCTAAGAAGTCCCCTATCACAAATTACAGTGACAGGTCCCCTTTATGGAGACATCAGGGGTCTCCAAGACCCCTAATGTCACCTAGGGACCCCCCAGAGAAGCTGATGAAGCACAGACCTGCTTCATCAGCTTCTCTCCAGTTTCTGTACCGGAGAGTGACAGAGGAATGCGGAAGTGATGTAACATACATCACTTCCTGCATTCAGAGACCGGGAGGAGAGCGGAGGGAGATCTGTACTCTAAAGACGCCCACCGCTACCTCCGCCCAACTGTTTCCTATTGGCCGGCACCTGCCAGAGTCTTCTAGCAGGTCCCGGCCAATAAATAACTGAGTGGAGCCAGTCGTGATGTCACAACCGGCTCCGCCCAGTTGATATTGTTTAATGACAGATCATTAACCCAGGTCATTTGGGGACGCTGATCTGTCATTACAACTGGGCGGCTGGCTCCGCCCAGCTGTCATTTGCTTTAGAGATCGGTCGGCTGTGAATACGGCTCAGCAGAGAAAAAAAACGCTCAGGTGTGAACCCAGCCTAATTTTCCATGGAATACAATTGTGGTGACATTACTGCACTTGTAGTCCATTTATCTTCCCATCCATGTCATTGAATGTCAGTACCGAGGTGCGGATGTGCACGGAAGAAAGAGTCGACAGGAACCAGAGCATTGCATCCATGATCCACTGATCCTGGTTACAATGCTTTACTGCCTCAATGCATATTTTTTTCTTTTATGAAGAACTGCACATTTATAATTTTGTTCTAAAAGGTGGAATTTCCCTTTAAGATACGAGGCTAAAAAACTGAAGGCACAGCTGAATAGAACCCTCTGTTATTTCTCTGGGGAGTGAAGACTATGGGACCGAGTCAAAGGGCATCCACGGGTGCTTCAGTGTTCAGTGCCTACAGATACGATTAGGCAAGTATTAATTCTTCTCTTTGCAGGCAAGACTTTTCTTGTTTTTAAAGCTAGTGACAGTGAATTTAAAGGGGTACTACATAGGAACCTTCTGATATTTTCAACTAGGCACAGAAACCATTAAAAAATGTAAGTGTGGACTAATGGGGGGGGGGCATCACAGATAAGTACAGAATGCCTACTACCTGTTTATTACCAGGTGCAACAAGTAAAAATGTACTGCATACTGAATTATGATTCAAGGGACCCCCGTTCCTCTATTTCTTACCCCTCTCGGATAACTCTCTCCGTCTCTGTGGCTACATGGTAGTAGCTAATGACGTGGTCCAGACAGGAAAGGGTGCTCTCCACATTCTCCTGCAGGCGTTGCAATGTCTCTGTCTGCTTGTGCACGGGGATGATGGAGTTCTCCAACTTCATCAATCGGCTCTCGAAGGAAGAAAGGATGGACACCTAGGAGAATGGACACAAGAGGCTCTAGCAATGTTTCTCTATGTGCCATCTTCCATCCCTTGCCTTGCCCATACTCACCATGTTATTGGTTAGCTGATCACTTTTATCTAGACTCTCCTTTATGAATGTCAGCATTTCTTCCTCCTGATAAAAAGAAAGTCAAAGGTTACCAACAATTCAGACATATTGTATTCCCTGGTGCTCCTTACATTTCTGATGAAGCCATTTTCTGAAAATGCTCAATGCTTGGCTGCAATGCTGATATTTGAATCGCAGACATTGAACATGCGTTTGTAAAAGGACTTCTGACTTTCCTGATCTCCTGAAGTTCCAGATCAGTGGCTTAGAAAATACTTAAAAGCACAGGGTCAAGCAATAAACATTTTCAGAAGGCAAAAAGCTAAATACACAGATTAAGTACATATATGAGAGCTTTTACCTGTTTAAAAAAGATTTATATTTCTGTCCATTCAGGCCTAAAATACACACGGTTTTGTCACACAGCACATCCCTGTCTACCTGGGGAGTAGAACTGGTCTACTTTCATTTACCGGTCTCCTCCACCCACAACCCATTACTGGACACTGAAAGGAGAAGCAGCGCAATGAAGAGCTCATCTCTCCTCCAATCAGCATGCTACCTACACTGCAGCACACCTGAATAGCTCCTTGTGCTTCTCCTCCCCCCTTTTCTGAGCTCTGCTGTACTGAGCGTACAGCAGACTGCAATAGGCAGATACCAAGTCAAATGTAGGTACGTAAACTGCTTGCATTGCATAAGAATAGATTTAAAAATGTATTCAATATTACAGAGCAGCATTTATTTGTGTCTTTATTATCTGCCTGGAGTTCAGCTTTTAAGAAAAAGCAATTCTAACGCCAATTTAAGGGACTGATAACACCTTTGATTACTTAGCACCAGTAAGTATAAGTGTTAATTTTTCAATTAGAGAAACAGATTAAAATGTACACTGCATTCAGCAACGAAACGAAAGCAGTGTACAGCTGTCAGGTAAGTGGTCCTGATTTCAAAAAGTGAATAAGATTTGCCATCTTCTACAATAGATCATGGATATACTCCCAGACCACTCCTTCCAAGGTAAAGCCTAGTGTAAGGGGGTGATGCAGCAACCTCCAGCTGGTTAACCGGTGAGCAACATACAAAATATACAGTATGTCAGCCCACTGACCCATACACAAAAAAAAACCAAATGGAATAAAAATGAAGAACTGTCTTCCAGACTCTTTCCCAAATGTTTAGTCCATGAGATAGCATTCTAAGAATGTTGCACCTATCACCTGCAAGTAAAGCAAGGACTACTGTGCCCCCCCAATTAATAAGATCAGTAGATGTGTTATGTGCGAGACGTGAAATAGCAGACAGGCAAACTACCTCCCCGCTTTGGATATCTCACAGTGCATTGTTGTAACATCTCTTCTTGTCCCAACAGCCACAAAGAAAACTGCCAAGAGGTTTCAGTGATGCAAGTAAGTATCATTTTTTAAGCACATTGCCTACCTGGGGTTTGTCAAATCCTTTAAGAAACAATGTTCCAGCAATTTGGTAGAGGCATCTAGTTTGATATCTGCAAACACTATTTACTGGCTAGCTTCCAAGCCAATCAGCATGGAGCCAGCTCCCCGGCCAATCAGGAAACCTGGTCATTACCCGCCGTCGGACTTCCTGATTGGCCGGTAAGCCGGCTCCATTCTGTTCGGCTGGCTCAATGCTGATTGGCTAAGAAGCCGGCCAAACAGCATGGAGCCGGCTTACCAGCCAATAAGGAAGCCAGGTGGTAAGTCAATAGCCGCCTCCCAGCTTCCTGATTGGTGGGAAGCCGGCTTCATGTTTCCTCGTAGCACTGCCAGTCAGAGGAAATCTCCCTCTGACCAAAAGTTCCAGTATCGGAGCACTTGGCATCGGTATCAGTGCATCCCTAGCATTCCCTATTCATTTTGAAGATTTAAAGGGACATTAAAGTCACATTCCCCCCTCTCCCCCCCCAATGCTGGTGTAAGGACTAAAAAACGAGGAATTAAAAAAATTTAAAGAAAAGCACAATTTTGTCAAAGTTGGGCCTCCTTGGTGGAAACAAAAGGAAAAAAATTAAACTTTAATGTCTTGCCTAGTGTAAAAAATAGCAAAGGTCTACTCACCCAAACCTCCTAACTGGCCTGCTGTCTCACCATTCCCTGTCCCCTCACCCGCTGCAGTGATAGTATGTCCCTCAGGGTCCTCACGCTTTGTACACAGTGTACTTGGCATGATGATCAATACACTCAGGGACCTTAGACAGCTGCAGTGGAGAGGGAGAGATGGTCCAGGGAACAGTTTAAGAGCAAGCCAGCTCGGAGGATTGGGAGACTATTTTTTACCCTGGGCAAAAACGAGCACTTAACTCTGCAGTGCGGGGTAGCCCTATTGCAAGGGTTAAGAACATTTTTACCCAACAAGGAGGCAGGTAAGTAGGGAGAAGAGTGGCCAAGGTTAGGGCAGGGGGGGCATGAGGGGATAAGGTTGACAGAGACTTAGGCATGTGAATATGGTTCACCGTTAAGCTCAGGATGGGTACCCATTAGCTAGGGGGTATAGATGGAAACCTATGAGGTAAGCAGTTGATAAAGGCACTGGATGTCTAGAACAAGAACCAACATGTCCACGTGACAGGACAAAAATATAGAGAACATAGAAGAATGTGTAGGACACTCATGAAATGCAAAGACTATTTCTTCCCCAGTCTTCCAACAGTAGCCATGATTACTAAGGGCAGATGACTAGCTCTTCTTTAACTTCCTGGGTCTCTGGCACATGTGACTAGACATTGACTAGGACATGTGACCATACACATCATCTCACGGGAGGAAAATGCCTTTCCCTGAGATCTCCTGAGATTACAGATGAGATTTCCCAGCAATGTTCTCCTGACAAGGCAATCCCAGTGTGCATTGCTTTGGCAAACTGAAGTCAACGCAGGAAGTGAATGCTCTGCAAGTGTAAGTATTTCACAATTACAGCATTTTACACCTGACATGTCTATGTCATTATTAATCATTATACACAGAGGGATGCATTGGTCGAATTTGATTTTTGAGTGTAAAAGTCCGCTTTAATATTTGTAGGCTTTCTAAATAAATTCATAAATATACCAATATCACCATATAAATGAAATAAATATTAAACCGCATGAGACCTCCTCATGTATCATTTCCCCCTCCTCTTTCAGATTGTAAGCCCTCAGGGGCAGGGCCCTCCTTACCATCCTGTCTTGAATTGTATTGTAATTGTAATGTCTTCCTTACATTGTAAAGCGCTGCGCAAACTGTTGACGCTATATAAATACTATGTAATAATAATAATAATGAGACATTTTTGGCTTTTTGGGCATAGTGTGTGTGTATATTGACTGACACATTCCGATCCTATGTGAATGTCCTTTAAATAAACAGAATCTCATGAAAAGATTGTTCAAGGTGTCAAACACACAATGATCATATTGTGGTGCCTACTGTCATGCAATTGCGTTTTCTGCCCAGACCGATCATAATAATTTCAATGGAATTGATCGGGTTTGATCTAAATCCATTGATGACATAGTATATGTATTTCTGATAATGAATCGATTCGATCACATTCTCCGATTTCTCTAAAGAATTGTTCAAACTGATTGTTACATGTACAGCCACTATTAAAAGGTAACCTGTCAGGGTAGAAGGATAAATATTTTCGGAGAGCTCCACAATTGCAGCACCCATGATTCTCTAATGACAAGTAATCATCCCAATAGAAACATTAAATCCATATCTGCCCAGTACAGATCGCAGTACATAGGCTACAATCAGATATGTTCCCATCAGTCATCCTGCACCTCTCACTAAGGGATAAACATGACACTAAACCTGCTTCAGCTTTTCCTCTATCTCCTTCTTCCGGCCCGATATCTCCTCGTTCGGTATCATTCTGCCGTCTAAATCGCTCAGACAATGGAAAAATATAATGATACTGGCTATAGTATGGATTCTTCTCCACCCTTCCTGGCAGCTCCAACATCAGATGTCAACAAGCCTCACTTCCGCCCAAGAGTCACATTCACTTCCGTGCCTCTACTAATATGGCGACCGCGTGGATGGGAGCGGCCGCCATATCGGTGGAGGCATAATAGCGATACTAGGCGGATACTTCCTATAACTGATTGCAGAGAACTGCTCGGTCTTGTGGTAGAGTTAACAATACTGTAATATAAAGTACAAATGCCAATATATAGAGTGGTGAAATTCCTCATGATGCACAATTATATCATAAGAAAGCAACTATGAATGAACCAGAGAGAAATGTAAAGTTTTCACAGCTGACTAGAAATGAGAGAAATTCAGATTTCAAGTTAATCCCACATTTGGGTGAAAATAATGAGATTTTGGTGATTTTTTGGGGAAATGCATTGGAAACTTTGTGGAATGCGAAATTTATTTACTGAGGGCCCCTCCCCGGAGCCTACACACTGCGCTAAAATAAAAGAAACGAATCCTGTGCGTAAGGAAATTGAATAATACGCTTACCTTACCCCGGCTTCTGTACTGCAGGGGGTGATGTCATCATACGGGGTAATGCAGGGCTTGACACATTTTATTTGAATCCAGGTGCCAGCTAAAAAAGTTAGAAGCCAGGTTTTTATTATGTATCGTTATTTTTTATTTTATTTTCCTTTATTTTTTTAACTTTTTTCGCAGGTGGGGGGTATATTTATTTTATTATTGTTGGTTTTTATTTTTATTTGTATTTATTTTATTATGTTTTCATTTTTTTTTTTACCTTTTTTTAAATTTAATTATTTTGTATTTTTGTATTGCTTTAAAAAAAATTCACTTAACTTTATTGATATCACACAGGGGCTAACAAACTTAATGTGATATCATTCAGCGGTAACAGGTTCCCTTTATGAGCCTGCCCTCCAGTACAGAAAATCCAGCTTCTGTACAGCTCCACATGTGACAGTTGACACAGGAAGCACTGTGAATACAGCCCGTTCTCCGATCTGCTCCCCATCCTGAAATTATTGCAGTGGTCCTGGGTCCCCCGGGTCCCAGCACGGTTGGGAGGGGGCAGCTTGGGGCTTGGACCATGGAGGGGGGTAGGACCGTGGAGTGGGGTGGCGGCAGGGGGGCGTTCGAGCAGGCTGCTATACAAGCAATCTGGGTGGATCACTTGTACTAAATGAGCTCCGGCTTCCTTCGCTCTACATTTAACCCTGCGTGCCCAAATCAGGGCTACATGTAGAACAAAAAAAACATCCGTCCTGACGAAAGCCTGGGATTTGTGGAGCGCTGGCGTAATGAGGTCCCGGGAAATTCCGATTGGCCCGAATCTTGAATAATGACATTCCAGCACAGAGCCAAATCATCCGCTTACAAGTTTTTGGCTACTAGACGGTGACGTCACCCTGGCCTAGGTGCCATGAGGGGAAGGTAACTATATCAACTTTTTTTACCCAAATTATTTGACTTTAGGCCTGGTTCACACCTGTACGTTTTGTAGCGCGTTCAACGCTCTACGAACGCTCTACAAAACGCTCAAACATGAAAATCACATTGTTTTCTATGGGTACCGTGTTTCCCCGAAAATAAGACACTGTCTTATATATTTTTTGGCTCAAAAAAACACACTAGGTCTTATTTTCGGGGTAGGTCTTATTTTTTTTTTTAATATATAACAATCCAAAGTTAATGCAAATCCAAATTAAATAATCCAAAATGGCAAAGTTAAGAATAGGGTGATCAGGGCAATCAGGGGTGCCATACCTTTCCAAGAGAGCTTTCACTATAGATTCCACAGGCGGAGTGCATTTGGTATCAATCCGCCTGTGACAGGAGTCGGCGCTATAGAGGAGGCATTGGCTTATGCGGCTCTGCTCCATGTGCTGCCGCCTCGCTTCCTCTAGTACTGGCTTCATTTGCACCACTGATTCTCTCCCGTGGCTCTTCAGGTTCCCCCCTTATGCCACCACCGGCCCTGGCAATGGTCACAACTAGGTCTTATTTTCGGGGTAGGTCTTATATTTTAGCAATTCCCAAAAATAGTACTAGGTCTTATTTTCGGGGTAGGTCTTATTTTCAGGGAAACAGGGTATGGTTCACACCTTGCCGTATTTCAGCCTGTCTGAACGTGCTACAAAACGGCCTACGCCTGAAAAGGTACATGAGCTTCTTTGCAGCGTTTTTGTCACGCGTTTCCATTGGGATACAGCCAAGTAACCCTCGGACAAACGCGCATATTCGATACGCCTAGGTGTGAACAGAGCCTTAGTGTCATATTTTTGGCTTGGGGGAGGGGCCCTCAGTAAATAAGCGGACTTAAAATACTAGAATTAACTTAAAATACTCTTAAAGTTGTATTAGGGGAGAGGGGAATTTATCAAAACTGGAGCAGAGAAAATCTGGAGCAGTTGCCTATGGCAACCAATCAACTTCTCTCTTCAGTTTGTTCACTTAAGGTTTGAAAATGAAAGGTGGATGCTGATTGGTTGCCATGGGCAACTGCTCCAGATTCTGTCTGCACCAGTTTTGATAAATTCCCCTCTCAGTCTTTTATGTAATAATCAATCCAGATTAAACAAATATAGATTGCCCAGCAAATATTTTTTTTTTCATATTCTTGCCCAAGCACATACAATCATTATGTTTCCAAACAGCTCCAATTCTCTCAGCTCAGCTTCCCGAAACTTCCTGTCCAGTACATGATCACAAGGAACAGAGCAGACTCCAGCAACTGTTCATCTACTAACTTGGAGAGGGAAAGAAGAGGAGGAGGGGGTGGCAGGGTAGTGGCTTTCCTTGCTGTATATGTGTGTTTGGGAGGACACACACAGTTTTCTAACACACACAAAAATGTGTCAGAGAAATGCTTACTGTGTTCGTTCTGCACGATTTAGTGCGCATGCATATACCCGTGCTTGCGCACCTATTACGAACATTGGCACCAGACGGCCTATTTGAGGAGGAGCTCTGCATCTATCCTTTGCTGAGAGTTCTTCAGCTAGTGCCCTGCTTCCTGTCTTTCCTGATCCTGTTGTTCCTGATATCTACACTGCTGTTTTGGACTCCGCTAAGTGCTGCCTGCCTCCTGACCTTGGCTTGTTCTTAGACTCCGCTAATTGCTGCCTGCCTCCTGTCCTTGGCTTGTTCTTGGACTCCGCTGATTGCTGCCTGCCTCCTGACCTTGGCTTGTTCTTGGACTTCGCTAATTGCTGCCTGCCTCCTGATCTTGGCTTGTTCTTGGACTCCGCTAATTGCTGCCTGCCTCCTGACCTTGGCTTGTTCTTAGACTCCAGTAATTGCTGCCTGGACTCCGCTAATTGCTGCCTGCCTCCTGACCTTGGCTTGTTCTTGGACTCCGCTAATTGCTGCCTGCCTCCTGACCTTGGTTTGTTCTTAGACTCCACTAATTGCTGCCTGCCTCCTGACCTAGGCTTGTTCAAGGAATCCGCTAATTGCTGCCTGCCTCCTGATCTTGGCTTGTTCTTGGACTCCGCTGATTGCTGCCTGCCTCTTGATCTTGGCTTGTTCTTGAACTCCACTGATTGTTGCCTGCCTCCTGACCTCGGCTTGTTCTTGGACTTAGCTGATTGCTGCCTGCCTCGTGACCTCAACTTGTTCATGGCCTCCGCTGATTGCTGCCTGGCTCCTGACCTTGGGTTGTTCCTGGACTCCGCTGATTGCTGCCTGCCTCCTGACCTCGGCTTGTTCTTGGACTCCACTGATTGCTGCCTGCCTCATGACCTCAACTTGTTCATGGACTCCGCTGATTGCTGCCTGCCTCCTGACCTTGGCTTGTTCTTGGATTCCACTGATTGCTGCCTGCCTCATGACCTCAACTTGTTCATGAATTCTGCTAATTGCTGCCTGCCACCTGACCTTGGCTTGTTCTTGAACTCCGCTGATTGCTGCCTGCTTCCTGGCCACGGCTTGTTCTTGGACTCCGCTGCTTGCTGCCTGCCATGTGACCTCAACTTGTTCATGGCCTCCGCTGATTGCTGCCTGGCTCCTGACCTTGGGTTGTTCATGGACTCTGCCGATTGCTGCCTGCCTCCTGACCTCGGCTTGTTCTTGGACTCCACTGATTGCTGCCTGCCTCATGACCTCAGCTTGTTCATGGACTCCGCTGATTGCTGCCTGCCAAATAACCTCAACTTGTTCTTGGACTCTGCTGATTGCTGCCTGCCTCCTGACCTTGGCTTGTTCTTGAACTCCACTGATTGCTGCCTGCGTCCTGACCTCGGTTTGTTCTTGGACTCCGCTGATTGCTGCCTGCCTCCTGACCATGGTTTGTTCTTGAACTCCACTGATTGCTGCCTGCCTCCTGACCTCGGTTTGTTCTTGGACTCTGCTGATTGCTGCCTGCCTCCTGACCCAGGCTTGTTCTGGACCTTCCTTCTGCATACCGATTCTGCACTGCTTGCCTGCATGTTACCAACCCGGCCTGCTCCTACCCCTGTCTCTGATTCTGTACCTTGCTGCTTGCCTAATCCTGACCCGGCTTGTTCCTGACTATGGTTCTTCTCCTGCACTGGTGCCAGCTTCATTCTTTGCTGACATAATCTCCCAGGAAGTGACCATCCTCGTCATCCTCCGGACTGGTCCACGTGTACCTTCCGGTCTGGTGTCATCTACTCTACCAGATGCTCGTGCCCCCCCTCTGTCCCTGCACACTCAGTTTATTACCAGGTGTGTCCTGGCAAAAGCAGCAAGTCATTTCAGGCTCTTACCAGGTACGTGACAGGGTGGCTCCATAGGAACCTCCAAAGGAAATACTAAAACAGGAAGTCAGGACCAGTGCTCAGGGGACCAGCTGATTCTACAAGAAACACACTTTTAAACATCAAGAAGCAGCATCCATTGTAAGTGATTTCATCAACCTTTTAATAGATAAATGGAGAGTTTCTGCTTTGGTGAAATTCTGGCAATGGCAAAATCAGTTTTGCCAAAATCACTCCGCACAACCTTATTGCTGATCTCTAACCTAAGAATGGTCACCAGGCTGTCATGATGATCGACTGGCTTCAA